CGTACTCTCCTCTTTCACCCTCATCAAGAGGCTCTTTAGTTCTTCTTCACTTTCTGCCATTTCTCCAGAGATTTTTCTCTGGATTTCTCCAGAGGTTAGGATGGTCCTAACTCTGCTCGCCTTTCATAAGGCCCTAAAGACCTAGTTCTGAAGCTGACCCTGGGGCCCTGAGCAGGTGAGGGGTCCTGTGTCTTGGCTGTGCTAGTGACTGTTGATTGTGATATGTTCCTCAGCTGGTGTGTAATTTAATTTGTGTATTTGTGGTTGGAATTGTTTTTAATTTACTTTAAGATTGTTTGTTTCCCAGAGTCATTTGCTGAGATGGGCGGCCATACAAACTGAATAAATAAATAAACAGACATTCTGATAGTTCTGTATAAAAATAGAATAAAAAGAAAAAAGAAAAAAAGAAAAGCTCAGTGCCCTGAAGCCATGTAAGAATCAAACCCAGACCCTTTTAATGGCAATTGCAACCAAGCAAAACTTTGCTACTTTCCTGGGAAATTTCAGTGGAAAAGTCAGCAAGGAAAAAGCAAATAATTTCAGTTTCAGACCAGCCTGCACAGTGATTAAGGAGTCGGGTTATGAGCTCAGCACACCAAGTAATATAGAGTAATACATGGCCTACTGATTTCATTGCACAGTTGGAAGAGATGCAGAAACTTTCTGAATAACAGATGTGATTAAATGGACTATAATGATCTTGGACCATTGTCTTTCCTACTCTAGGGTCACATTGTGAAATCTAGAGAGTTAAAAAGATCCTTGCACATCTGAAAACACACAGACATGGATTGTAACACCCACCCTCATATTCCCTTAAGTGGGCTATGAAATATATTCAGCTTCCCTCTTCTCCCTTCTGCCTTGTGTCCTCACAGCTGCTCCATCCTTTACCTTAGCTGAGCTGAGAAAATGGGGTCCCCATCTCCCTTAAGGAGTGTCTGGGAAGGAACAGCTGGAAAACATGAAGGAGGCTTAAGAAACTGACAAACAAGGCATGAGCTTGGCATCACACTCCACTGGACTGGGGTGCAGAATATACTTTCCAACAGCTGTGCCAGACACCTCCCCTAAACCCAAACTTCACATCACATATGCCCATAATTCTCCTGGAGCAGCTGGATGGCCAATCACAACACACAGATGGGCAACTGAGTGAAGCTGAGCTGATAACTCAACAACAATTTGCTGCTCCCATGTTGCTTTTTATAGCCAGCTGCAGAGGTTAAAATAGCCTGTATCAGGGTGCAGAGTGAGTGCACTGTCTTTAAGAGGACAATAAATCATCATCAGATATTACACTGAGCCTCAGTCCTAATAATTCCTCCAAGCATCTGGCACTCACCCACATCCAGCTGAGGCTGCAGTTCAAACCGTTACATCATCACTCCAGGAATGCTTTGTTACAGCATCAACTGTTGTTACTAACTCCTTAAGCTTTGCTACTGTCAGAGTTTCCATCTCAGCCTGGTTTTAAATAAGGGTTTATATAAAAACTGGATTTAAAATCTTGATTTCAGTGTTAAGACTTGGCATTGCTTCCAGCCCCCCAGCACCCAAATATATTTGAATTAATATCAATGGAAGGAGGAAATTATTAATGCTCCGTATTATTAATTTAATTATTGCAGAATTACCAACTAGGATGGAGTTCTTTCTCTTCCTCCAACTCTCTATGCTTCCATCACTGGGCCTGTTCACACATTGCATAGGGGTCTATTTTATTAACTTGTGTCTTTGTGATTCTCCAAGATTACTTCTTACCATAAATGGTTTTTTATGCAAATCTCACATTAGGGAGGGCTCCAGAAAGGATACATTCGGAACAACAGGATGGGAAAGGCTGATCTAACATATCTTATCAACTAGTTACAGGGTTGGCTGTTCATACAATATACTAGACCATTACCTATTTTAGCTATGATTTGTTCAACAAAGCATGATGCCTTGCTTCACACTTAATGCTAATCTATTCCTAATTTTTGCAGACTTTATTTTTGAATGAATGAAATTCAGGTAAGCTGAATTCATTAGATTTAAGAGACTATCAGACCATTCTGTTAATCTTAGCTACCAGAAGAATTGTAAATCTATATACCCACAAATATATTTTGTATCCTGTATGGCTCAATAATCAAGTCATCAACAAGTAATGCACCTGGCTGACCATGTCATAAGCAGTGCACTGCTGGATCAGACCCCTGGTCCATCTAGCCTTAGAGGTTAAGCAGAGTTAGGCATGGTTAGTACTTGAGTGAAAGACCACCAGAGAATATCAGGGCTGTAGACTAGCTTGGGAAGAAGATGAGCATGGTTATAAAATTGGAGGAAGAAACATCAATAACCCATGCTATGCTGATGACACTACTCAGCTGAAAATGCAATGGATCTGCAAGCTCTAGTAATAAACATCAGGAAGTACAGTGAAAAAAATGAGATTAAAATTAAATATAAAGAAAACCAAACTAATGACAACAGATAGAACAACCACCCTAGAACTGACAGTGAAGATATTGAAGTTTGCCTTTTAGTGCCAACCATCAACTGTAAAGGAATAAGCAGTCAAGAAATATGTTCCTGGCCTGCACTTGGTAGAGCAACCATGAAGGCCTTGGAAAAGATATTCAAATGCCATGATGTGTTTATACCTACAAAGATCAGAATAGTGCAAGGCATGGTATTCCTTGTGACACTCTACGGAAGTGAAAATTGGACTTTGAAGAAGCAGGATAGAAACAGTATTGGCGCTTTTAATCTTTGGTGTTGGAGAAGACTCCTGAGAAT